TCAAAGTTATTTTCAATTGAAACATTTACGCAAATTAATACAACAATTTGTAAGTCCAGTAGAAAGGGAAAATATTTTAAAGTTATTTTTAATTGAAATATTTACGCAAATTTATACAACATTTTATAAGTCCAGTGAAAGGGAAAATATTTAAAGTTATTTTTAATTGAAAAATTTACGCAAATTTATACAATTTATAAGTCAAGGGGAAAGGGAAATTATTTAAAGTTATCTTTAATTGAAACATTTTAGCAAATTTATACAAGAATTTATAAGTCTAGTGGAAAGGTAAAATATTTAAAGTTATTTTCAATTGAAACATTTACGCAAATTAATACAACAATTTGTAAGTCCAGTGGAAAGGGAAAATATTTTAAAGTTATTCTTAATTGAAATATTTACGCAAATTTATACAACATTTTATAAGTCCAGTGGAAAGGGAAAATATTTAAATTTATTTTTAATTGAAACATTTACGCAAATTTATACAATTTTTTAGGTCCAGTTGAAAGGGAAAACATTTAAAGTTATTTTTAATTGAAATATTTACGCAAATTTATACAACAATTTATAAGTCCAGTGGAAGAAAAAATATTTAAAGTTATTTGTAATTGAAAAATTTACGCAAATTAATACAATTCTTTAGGTCCAGTGGAAAGGGCAAACATTTAAAGTTATTCTTAATTGAAATGTTTACGCAAATTTAAAAAACATTTTATAAGTCTAGTAGGAGGGAAAATATTTAAAGTTATTTGTAATTGAAAAATTTACGCAAATTAATACAATTTTTTAGGTCCAGTGGAAAGGGGAAACATTTAAAGTTATTTTTAATTGAAATATTTACGCAAATTTATACAAGAATTTATAAGTCTAGTAGAAAGGGAAAATATTTAAAGTTATTTTCAATTGAAACATTTACGCAAATTAATACAATTTGTAAGTCCAGTGGAAAGGGAAAATATTTAAAGTTATTTTTAATTGAAACATTTACGCAAATTTATACAACATTTTATAAGTCCAGTGGAAGAAAAAATATTTAAAGTTATTTTTAATTGAAACATATACTCAAATTAATACAACAATTTCTAAGTCCAGTGGAAAGGGAAAATATTTAAAGTTATTTTTAATTGAAACATTTAGCAAATTTATACAATAATTTTTATGTCCATTGGAAAGGGAAAATATTTAAAGTTATTTGTAATTTAAACATTTACGCAAATTAATACAATTCTTTAGGTCCAGTGGAAAGGGGAAACATTTAAAGTTATTTTTAATTGAAACATTTACGCAAATTTATATAATTTATAAGTCTAGTGGAAAGGGAAAATATTTAAAGTTATTTTCAATTGAAACATTTACGCAAATTAATACAACAATTTGTAAGTCCAATGAAAAGGGAGAATATTTAAAGTTATTTTTAATTGAAATATTTACGCAAATTTATGCAACATTTTATAAGTCTAGTGAAAGGAAAAATATTTAAAGTTATTTTTAATTGATGTCATATTTATATAGATTAAGGATTTTGAATATTTAAGCATGGAGGATATTTTTAAAGTATATCGACTAACGTTAGGTTTTAAAATAATGAATGGCCAATGTCCATTGTCGTTTAATAATCTTGTGAGATCAAGTGAAAGGTGTGAAGGGCGATTAATACATTGGAAAGCCAAGACTAATACATTTTTAAATTCATCTTATATTATTTTTCCTAGATTATGGGAACAACTTCCTAATGAAATTAAACAATGTACATCCATTTCGGACTTTAAAGCCCAGCTCACAAAACACTTGATCTCAAAATATTAATAATAATAACTATTAATTATCTCTGTTTTTCATTTTGTTATAGTTAAATCAATTTATTTTGGAATTTACTTCTTTTTTTTTTTTGTATATATTTATATTGTATTGTCATTGTATTTGTTTTTGATGATGGAGTAAGAGCAGTTTACTGTTTGGGCTTATGCCTATTACTTACTCCTGGCAAGAATATTGTATGTATACTTTTTGCTTTGCCGAATAAATATTATTATTATTATTATTATTAATTGAAATATTTACGGATATTTATACAACATTTTATAAGTGTAGTGGAAGGGAAAATATTTAGAGTTATTTTTAATTGAGACATTTACGCAAATTAATAGAACAATATGTAAGTCCAGTGAAAAGGGAAAATATTTAAAGTTATTTTTAATTGAAATATTTACGCAAATCTATACAACATTTTATAAGTCCAGTGGAAGAGAAAATATTTAAAGTTATTTTTAATTGAAACATTTACTCAAATTAATACAATTTTTTAGGTCCAGTGGAAAGGGAAAACATTTAAAGTTATTTTTAATTGAAACATTTACGCAAATTTATATAATTTATAAGTCTAGTGGAAAGGGAAAATATTTAAAGTTATTTTTAATTGAAAAATTTACGCAAATTTATACAACAATTTATAAGTCCAGTGGAAAGGGCAAATATTTAAATTTATTTTTATTTGAAACATTTACACAAATTTATACAACAATTTATAAGTCCAGTGGAAAGGGAAAATATTTAAAGTTATTTTTAATTGAAACATTTACGCAAATTTATACAACATTTTATAAGTCCGTTAGAAGGGAAAATACTTAAAGTTATTTGTAATTGAAAAATTTACGCAAATTAATACAATTCTTTAGGTCCAGTGGAAAGGGGAAACATTTAAAGTTATTTTTAATTGAAATGTTTACGCAAATTTATACAAGAATTTATAAGTCCAGTGGAAGGGAAAATATTTAAAGTTATTTGTAATTGAAAAATTTACGCAAATTAATACAATTTTTTAGGTCCAGTGGAAAGGGGAAACATTTAAAGGTATTTTTAATTGAAATATTTACGCAAATTTATACAAGAATTTATAAGTCCAGTGGAAAGGGAAAATATTTAAAGTTACTTTTAATTGAAACATTTACGAAAATTAATACAACAATTTAAAGTTATTTATTATTAAAACAAACATTTTAAAGTTATTTATTATTACATGTAAATCAAATAATTTTAGAAACAAGTATCAAATGTGAAATCAGTGTTAGCATTTATTTATCCCACAATGCAATTTGCAATGGACACAAAATGGACAAGAAAATTCACAAAGTTTTTGTAGCACACTCACCATTCAGTAGAGGAAGCAAAATTCGCCATTCAGCCAAGCAGGGCTGGTCCACTCATTGCAGAGGTGCAGTGTCTAAATTTTCTTCAGAGTTTCTATTGTAAAATAAATTGCATTAATTAGATTTAGGATGAGAAAATACAAATGCACCATAAATATCAAAATGTTTAATTGTTAATTTAATTATTATAATTCTAGAAAAAAATATATAAATATTGTCAAAATAATTAAATTTTAATTTTATGAACTATTAATCATAACATAATTAAATATTACATTCAGAATGAAAATGACAGGATGCATTTTATATAATGCTTGCAGTACACAACAAAGATAGTTCTGGAAAGAACTACGGTATTATTGGTTGAGAATGCAGGGCTGGTGGAACGTTTTCAAAGTGGGAGGGGCCCCCAACTAGTAAAATGAATGAGAATATGAATCAGGGGTCTGGTTTCAAATGTAGGTGATTTTTCCGAAAAACCCCCCAAAAAAAAGGCAGTCCGAAGATCCTCAAATTTTGATTCCTAGAGGCTGGGAAATGAACTTTCACAACTTTTGAGCTGGGTGTATCATAATGACAAGTTCTTCAAAATTCAAGGGTTTCTCGCTCTTGAAAACAGTTAGCTTAATGTTCTCATTCATATTACATTAAAAAGGCCTGTTATATACATACATCAAAGAATTGAGTAGTTGCATACTCTTTTTTCCATGAATCGATAAACCCCCTAGAGAAAGGTTGATCTGGGTGTCTCCCCCTGGAAAGGTTGCCCCTTTGAAAACGATTCCATGAATCAATGAACCCCAACGTGAAAGGGGAATTTAGGTTCTCCCTGGAAAATTTTTGATTTCTAAATGGCGGGAAATGAGTTTTCACGACTTCTGAAGTAATAATAATAATAATTCTGGATTTGGGTGTGGATGTAAGGACCAATTAGGATTTTAGAGCAAACATTCTAAGACAAGATATTTTAAAAATCAACTGATATGAATGAAGTTTAACCAAATTACAAGGAAGATATTATTAAGTGTTGATGATGATCGAAATTCAGGTGTGAGTTTGAGGGTCATTTAATATCCTAAGGTCCCACCTAAATATTTCTAACCTAAGGATAATCAATAGATCAAAATTTCCCTTTCCACAATAATTTGTCATGCTTCAATGAAAAAAGGGGTATAGATATGAAGACCATTCAAATGAAAACGTCCCAGACCAGATATTTTAAAAACTAATAAAATGATGTGAATGAATCTTTCGTGAAAGTTTAATCAAGTTACAAGGAAAATAAATTTGAATTGTTGGTGACGATCCAAAGTCAGGTGTGCATTGAGGCCAGGTCCCACATCTACAGTAAATATCTCTAGGACCATTTAAAAAATAGGTTTACTGTATTACTGTAGGCATAAACAATACTGTAGTTATATGATGAATATCTAAATTAGTGCAATTACAGTAAAGCTGTACAGCGTTTTATATGTACTAACTTCACTTTTTTCAGAAATGATTGGGAATTATTTTTAATACACCTATACAGTACAGATAAAAATTACTGCCTTCGTAGCACGCGTAGCTACGCGTAGGATTTGTGTAGCACGAACCGCTACGTAGCGATCGCTACGCATTGTAACGCATCGTAATGCATCAGCTGTTTAACACATTATCAGTCGCCTATCACTGCCTATACAAGATCTGAACGTTCGTCGGAACAGACGTACTGTCTAGTAAAATGAATGTAAAGAGAGTTTCTTTAATTAGGCGTTTAATATACGATAATCGTATGAATGCTTTAATCTGCCCTTTCTAGGCCTAAGCCTAATAATTACCGGCGGCTTCGTCAGTTACCTAAGCCTGCCAGCGCCTACCGACAGCGCGCCTACCGACATTGTCATTGCATTAGGCCTCGTCCTAAAATAAATCCCAGAAGTAAACAACATGTCCCATCAGCCACTATGGGAAAACGTGCAGAGTGTGCTAACAAACCATCATTGCTATTTGATGTCCGTAGATGATTTAAATACAAATTGTTTCGCCTTTCTACAACCATCTATCTGAAAATGAAGATCGCGCTGACTCTGCATAAACTTTGAGACCTGCCGCCTTTTTACTGCTGCGCAACAAAAAAGCACATGATACATGGTACCGTCTGGGCAAAGCCTGGGCGGCGATTGGTAGTGGAATCCCGGAAGGTTTGTATTTATTTTTTTTTTTTTTCTATTAAAAGTTGGAATACTAAAATAATTCACATCAGCTTGAATAGGAAGAGATCACAAATGAATCAACTCCTCATATAAGCATGGAGGAAATATAAGATGATAAGGCAGGCTGATATATTTTTTGTTTATAATTAATTTCACTATCTAGTGACGAAATACAGTAGACTACGTAGTACATAGGGTAGTCCTACACAATTCTTCATAATCCCATCATTCCATTTAAAATTAAATAAAATGTGATGTTCTACTATTTAGGCCTACTAGAATAAACAAAAAGTAGATCTATATTATATTTTCTACATACTGGTCAATTTTTTTCAAAAATTATAAAGTTCTGCTCCAGGCTCAGCACATAAAAAAACAGTTTGATTTAATAAAAAACGCCAAAATATCTGCTTACGAATATTGGTTCGCGCGAGTTATGTTTACTGATATTGACCTTCAGGCCAGTATTTACCAACGTAGTGAGACGGCGATCTGCGGCGATATCCAGCCTAGCTATGTTGTACGAAGCCAGCTGCGGTGCATTCGCTCCCGATGCATGTGCAAACCCTAGGTTTTGCCTACGCGTTTACTACGCGTAGACTACGTTAATCCTACACGTAGCCTACGAAGCCTACGCGTAGCAAAAGTTGCAGTATTTTTTATCCGTAGAGTACAATGTGACGCTAAAAACCAAACTCCTATATTTATATTAGCATAATATTTCCATTTTATTTGAACACTAATACAGTACATGGTATGTATTTTTTTTTGTCAGGTATAAGAGTGTGACGTTCCAGTGTGTTAAAGCCAGAAGATGTAAGGCATTGGCAGGTGTACAACTGATACAATAAAAGGCATTTGAAAAATTGAGTGATTAAATTTTGGTGTGGATGTCAATATATGGACTATTCAAAGCAAAATGTCTCAGATCAGATATCCCAAAAAATTAATCAACTGATCTGAATGCAACTTTCGTGTTTAAGTGTAATTTTTTTTAAGTAGTCTGTGGTTGGTGGTTGGAAAGTACGAACATATTTTTTAAGGGATTTATTCTTGAGAAAGGGATTTGCAGTGGGCGGAGATATGCTCTCTACTTAGTGCTTTTGTTATTAAAATAATGAATGGTTATGATTGTTTGTCAAGAAGTTTAGTGATATATAAGTAACTTATGTGTTTGGTCTGATTGTGGACTTACTTGTGCTTAAATGTTCCCTGGCCAAGCGGTAGAAGGTTACAACTTTTGTGATTCGCTGTGGTGAAACGCACATGCACATGCTATCTAGATGTTGCTCTTGCTGTGGCGTCATTTCAGCAGTTTCCTGATTTTTGTAGTTTCAAGTGTCTGACAATGAATATTCATTATCATAATACATCACTGTGATGAGACCATGGTCTGTTGAATTATGCAAATGAGTCATGTAGCAAACAGCCTGTAATAGAAAAATGATATTAGGTTTAACCAACAACTATTAAGATCTACATTAATAATAAAAATGGTTTAAAAGTAAAGGTGTAATATTAATTTCAATTAATTCTCCCTTGAAGAAAATTATTTCATAGGGTTTGTATTTATATATATTCAACACCAACATCAGTTGGATAAAACTTGACTATAACACATCCCAATGTAATTATATATAATCTTCTCATACAGCATTCTAATAGCATGGATAATACCTCCATGTTATCAGATTGAAGTTTCATGATATTGGGTGAACATCATTTATAATGATATTGTATTGCACAACAAGAAAAACTATAAAATCGACAGTAAGAGAACCTCATACGTAGTTGAAAATACGGACATTAACACTAACATGTGTGCAGGTGAATTGTGGGAAGTCTACACTGAAATTGGGAATTATTTTTAATACACCTATACTGTACAATGTGACGCTAAAAACTCCCATATTTATATTAGCATAATATTTCCATTTTATTTGAACACTAATACAGTACATGGTATGTATTTTTTTGTCAGGTATAAGAGTGTGACGTTCCAGTGTGTTAAAGCCAAAAGATATAAGGCATAGGCAGGTGTACAACTGATACAATAAAAGGCATTTGAAAAATTGAGTGATTAAATTTTGGTGTGGATGTCAATATGGACTATTCAAAGCAAAATGTCTCAGATCAGATATCCCAAAAACTAATCAACTGATCTGAATGCAACTTTCGTGTTTAAGTGTAATTTTTTTTAAGTAGTCTGTGGTTGGTGGTTGGAAAGTAGGAACATATTTTTTAAGGGATTTATTTTTGAGAAAGGGATTTGCAGTGGGCGGAGATATGCTCTCTACTTAGTGCTTTTGTTATTGTATTAAAATATATGATTATTATTATTATTTAAAATGTATTACGGCTTCTCTAAACTAAAGTATACAATACCGCCACATGACATATCAGTTTACTCAGTTTAAATTAACATATAGTGACAGTATGCTAATTTTAGATGGTGAGCCTTCAATAGCAAAATTACGCTTATAATGTCTCTCGCACTGAGTGTAGACATATGTGGCAAATACAAGCCAAATCACTTACTCGTTGCAAATCCTGTTTTGGAGATAATGGCCAAAACATGCTCGAATGTCAACATTTGGGAAATCTATTTTATTGTACTAAACTAACCTTTATGTTACAGTATAATACATATTCCAAATATCGAAATGCACGCAATCGTGTTGGGATTCAATATTTCAACATTAATTATGTCATCATCAGGAATGATGATGACATAATTAAGGCTGTTTTCTACGCAATTTTTGTTGAAAATCAGGTATTGGCCTTATATAAGACGATACTTTTTTAATATCTTGTTTAGCACATCTAATTTTTTTAGTGTTTAGGGGCGGGCGGGAGAAATATAAACATTATTTTTTAATTTAGCAAAATTATCCTGCCAAAAGTAAGAGAGTAGAGTAGGGACAAAAGAAAATCATAATTTCTTTAAGTATTATTTCATATTCTAGACCACTTAGCCCTGCAAGCACCACGAAACAGCAGTATATATCGCTACTAACTAGACTCAACACAGACGCATTATTTGCTATAAAGCATTGGCTGTGATTGGTTGATACACACTATATAGAATATAGAGACCACTTGCAATCTGAACAATGACGAACACGCTTCCTTAAGAAATGCATTCATGAAATGGATGGTTATGATTGTTTGTCAAGAAGTTTAGTGATATATAAGTTTGGTCTGACTGTGGACTTACTTGTGCTTAAATTTTCCCTGGCCAAGCGGTAGAAGGTTACAACTTTTGTGATTCGCTGTGGTGAAACGCACATGCACATGCTATCTAGATGTTGCTCTTGCTGTGGTGTCATTTCAGCAGTTTCCTGATTTTTGTAGTTTCAAGTGTCTGACAATGAATATTCATTATCATAATACATCATTGTGATGAGACCATGGTCTGTTGAATTATGCAAATGAGTCATGTAGCAAACAGCCTGTAATAGAAAAATTATTAAGAGCGTAACAAGTTTGTACCGAATTAGATACGAGTTGGGTACGAGCCAACTCGGTGCGCTCGTACTTACTCGTACTCGTTTTTGGGTGCTCGCCTCAAACTCGTAGATGACAAAACCGCCGACGAGTATCCAGAGTAGTGTTTCAAGCTAGGTAGGAGTACCCCGAGTACTCTACGAGCTACTTACGAGTTCTTCAAGTTTACTACGAGTTATCTACTCGTGGCGATAATTTTGAACATGTTCAAAATTAGCGCCACGAGTTCAGAGCTGCTACGAGTAGGTAAGAGTCCACTCCGAGCTTTCCGAATCATCCTACAAGTTTTTGCCGAGTTTGCCGAGTTAGCAACTCGGCATTCTCTTGTAACTCGTATGCTGAAAAAACCCCTAGTGGGAGAGGGGCTTAAGTCTAGTTTCCAGAAGTCCTAATGCAGCGAAATAATTCATCACAAAAACTAAAATTGGGTACAAATCATATGATAGAACCTGGAAACCTACAGCTAAAAACTGTAAAATCAAGAAGGTGAACCTCGTACATAGTAGAAAATATGGACATTAACACTACCTGGTCTACACTGAAATATTTATTGTGCATTCATTGAAATGAATGGTTATGGTTGTTTGTCAAGAAGTTTAGTGATATATAAGTAACTTGTGTGTTTGGTCTGAATGTGGACTTACTTGTACTTAAAAGTTCCCTGGCCAAGCAGTAGAAGATTACAACTTTCGTGATTTGCTGTGGTGAAACGCACATGCACATGCTATCTAGATGTTGCTCTTGCTGTGGTGTCATTTCAGCAGTTTCCTGATTTTTGTAGTTTCAAGTGTCTGACTATGAATATTCATTATCATTACATCATTGTGATGAGACCATGGTCTGGTGAATTACGCAAATGAGTCAACTAGCAAACAGCCTGTAATTCAAAAATGATATTAGATTTAACCAACAAATATTAAGACTTACATTAATTTAAAAAATGGTAAAAGTAAATGTGTAATATCAATTTAAATTAATTATCCCTTAAATAACATTATTTCATAGGATTTGTATTTACTTATAATATTCAACACCAACATCATTTGGATAAAACTTGACTATAACACATCCCAATGTAATTCTCCTCAACCTTCTCGTACAGCATTCTGATAGCATGGATAATACCTCCATACTATCAGATTGAAGTTTCATGATATTGTATTTTATAAGTAAGAAAAAAAAATTAAATTGTCTTTAATTGTGCATTCATGGAATAGATGCCTATGGTTAGATGGATTGTTTGTCAAGAAGTCTGTAAAGTAATACTTGTCAATATGCATAGTGAAGGTCTAGCGGTGCTGCTGGATGGTAAAAGTAAATGTGTAATATTAATTTAAATTAATTATCCGTTAAATAACATTATTTCATAGGATTTGTATTTACATATAATATTCAACATCATTTGGATAAAACTTAACTATAACACATCCCAATGTAATTCTCCTCAACCTTCTCGTACAGCATTCTGATAGCATGGATAATACCTCCATACTATCAGATTGAAGTTTCATGATATTGTATTGTATAAGTAAGAAAAAAAAATTAAATTGACATTAATTGTGTATTCATGGAACAGATGCTTATGGTTAGATGAATTGTTTGTCAAGAAGTCTGTAAAGTAATACTTGTCAATATGCATAGTGAAGGTCTAGCGGTGCTGCTGGAAGTCCCCCATTGAGTAGGACATTAACACTACCTGGTCTACACTGAAATATTTATTGTGCATTCATGAAATGGATGGTCATGATTAGCAAATTGTTTGTCAAGAAGGTTAGTGATATATAAGTAATTTATGTGTTGGTCTGATTGTGGACTTACTTTAAAATGTTCCCTGGCCTATCCAAGCGGTAAAAGGTTACAATGAGCGTGTGATCCACTGTGGTGAAATGCACATGTATATGCTATCTAAAAGTTGCTCTTGCTGTGGTGTCATTTCAGCAGTTTCCAGATTTTTGTTGTTTCAAGTGTCTGACTATGAATATTCATTAACATTACATCATTGTGATAAGACCATGGTCTGGGTGAATTATGCAAATGGTCAACTAGCAAATAGCCTGAAATACAAAAATGATATTATATTTAACCAACAAATATTAAGATTTACTTTTTTTTTTTAATGGTAAAAGTAAATATGTAATATTAATTTACAGTAAATGAATTCTGCCTTAAATAACAGTAATATTTCATAGGGTTTGTATTTATATAGAATATTCAACACCAACATCAGTTGGATAAAACTTGACTATAACATATCCCAATGTAATTCTCCTCAACCTTCTCGTACAGCATTCTGATAGCATGGATAATACCGCCATACTATCAGATTGAAGCTTCATGATAATTGGATAAACATCATTTATAATGATATTGTATTGCACAAGTAAGAAAAAAATATCTAATTGACATTAATTGTGCATTCATGATACAGATGGTTATCATATAGACACACATCTCATGTTAATACTTGTCAATCTTGGACATTCTTCTATAGCACGAGGTATTATACCTCCATGCTATAGGGTAAGTTTCATAATACTGTACTGGGTAAATATGATGGTATTGTATTGCACAAATAAGAAAAACTGTAAAACCGAGAAGATAAGAACACTCATATACAGTACAATTTTAAATTTAAGATTGGAGGATGTTTTTAACAGCATTATTTTTATTGGCCTACATGGTGAAGAGAATGGAAAATGAAAAGAATTAAAACAAAAATTTTATGACAACATTAAGTAAGAAAAAAAAATTAAATTGACATTAATTATGCATTCATGGAACAGATGCTTATGGTTAGATGGATTGTTTGTCAAGAAGTCTGTAAAGTAATACTTGTCAATATGCATAGTGAAGGTCTAGCGGTGCTGGAAGTCCCCCATTGAGTAGGACATTAACACTACCTGGTCTACACTGAAATATTTATTGTGCATTCATGAAATGGATGGTTATGATTGTTTGTCAAGAAGTTTAGTGATATATAACTTATGTTTGGTCTGATTGTGGACTTACTTGTACTTAAATGTTCCCTGGCCAAGCGGTAGAAGGTTACAACATTCATGATTCGCTGTGGTGAAACGCACATGCACATGCTATCTAGATGTTGCTCTTGCTGTGGTGTCATTTCAGCAGTTTCCTGATTTTTGTAGTTTCAAGTGTCTGACAATGAATATTCATTATCATAAAACATCATTGTGATGAAACCATGGTCTAGTGAAGTATGCAAATGAGTCAAGTTGCAAAGAGCCTGTAATAGAAAAATGACATTAGGTTTAACCAACAAATAATAAGATTTACATTATTAATAAAAATGGTTTAAAAGTAAATGTGTAATATTAATTTCAATTAATTCTCCCTTGAATAACATTATTTCATAGGGTTTGTATTTATATATATTCAACACCAATATCAGTTGGATAAAACTTGACTTTAACACATCCCAATGTAATTATATATAACCTTCTCATACAGCATTCTAATAGAATAATCTCCATGTTATCAGATTGAAGTTTCATGATATTGGGTAAACATCATTTATAATGATATTGTATTGTACAACAAGAAAAACTGTAAAATCGACAGTAGGAGAACCTCATACATAGTTGAAAATAACACTAACATGTGTGCAGGTGAATTATGGAAGTCTACACTGAAATTAGGTATCACAACCAAAAATTTTAACTCCCTATTCTGTTAAATTTTATTTGTTTGTCAGTTGCATCTCAGAAAATGAAACAAAAAACACTTTAAATTTTTTTAATTGGTTGAGCGGTTTAGATTTTATGAGCAGTTAAAGTCGTCTTCAAGGTAACTTGTAACTTGGTCAAATTTCCATAATATACAGGAATGATCAAAAAGTCATTAAATATCCTTTAAAACAAAAAATACACAAGAAAACCATCTCATTTAGCCATTGTCCATGACATTTATTGCCAATATCCCATAAAAAATACTGCATACAATGCTTTATATCTCAAATATGCTTTACCAAAATACACATTTTGTTAAAAATTGATAAAAACTGTCGGCAGGGAAATCGCAAAATATGATCAAATATCACATTTTGGCCAGGCATAACTTTAGAACTAAACAAAGAAAATGCATGAAACTTTGCAAACTTATTAACATCTATGAGTAGAGTGAGTCTAATTTTTTTCACAAAATAATTCATAATATATTTTAAGATATGGGCTTTTTAAATATGCAAATTAGGTAAATATGACCAATGTCCAAGAGAGAAAAATGCCAAAAAGCTAAAATAAAATTAAAGTGCTTCAAATTGTAGTTAGATTTACTCATAAAATGAATATAATGATATATAAAGTGATTATAGTGATATTTAAATTATATAAAGCAGTGCATCAAGTTCAGCTTTCTTGGATGCAGTTTTTTTCTTCAATTTTTCACATTGATTGCAAACCTGTGATTATTAAAAAAAATTGAAATAAAAAAAATGAATTTTCTGTATTTTTAAATGGTGTCTGAAACAAATCCATTTAAGATGGTTTGTACATACACAATATCAAACCCAAACAACAAACAATACAGATCACTGTACAAACAACACAATAGGAAAGGAATACATATACAGTACGGTAATTATATTTTAATTTACAAAGATGCGGTTATTTATATCAAAAATCATAAGACAATAATATTACATTATCATTTACTGGATCCTTTTAGGGAAGCAATACAGTACAGTAATATACAGTATTTGGCTGATGATTTAGGAAATACTGTACCACTTATTAATTAGGGTTTATAATTAAATTCAAAACAGATAGATAAAAACATGCCATTTGGATTAAAGTAAAATTATTAAATAAGATATTATAATTCAATCAAACATTCTTCGAAATAATCTAAATCGGCAGATGTAATGTTAAAACCATATTAAAAATATTTATTTTTAATACGCCACCCCAAATTTGAAATGGTGCAGCCTAGCCTGGCGATCGAAGTATCATGTCAACAAAGTTTATTCTATTTTTACGGTGTATTTCCGTATTCAATTTTTACATTCTTTGATACAAACACTAAATAATAACATTTTAATAGCTAACTAAGTTCTAAATTTATATCAATACCTACGTAAAAGAAACATTTAAGCCGATTATAAAACGGTGCCTAGCATAGGCTTACGTACAGTGCAAACCGCGGTAGCGTAGGCCTGAAATTTTAAGTGGACGGTTCGTCCAACTTCACTTAACCCCTAATAAAATCAAATAATGTAAATGATTATAAAATAAATGCTGATCGTTGGTAAATAACATAATTTGGCAAAATCTTACCTAATTAATTTTCAATGACAGTTTGTTTTCCATCACGTTCGCTTTCTTCTGCAGTGGAATTTCGCACCGGCCCTCCGATCGGCACCATGATGTTCCATCTGTCAAAACGTCACACTCGCATGTTGATGTCGAGGTCGTTCCACTCACATGTTTGTCTGGGGACTGTTCACTTTTGCGTCGCTCGCGAAATCACTACGCTCATGACTATAATGATATTGGTACCTTTGGAATCGCTATAAAATTCTCATTCAAATGATATAAAGATCGATCATTTCAGATGAGTATTTGTTTGAGTAAAATTGCTGCAAACATTTTGATTGTAATTTTATCAATAAATTATTAATCAATATCATAGCGATTTTTATATTAAATTAAAGCTTAATTTACGGACTACTTTATTATGTTAAAAACACATTGGTTGTGAAAAGGGCGAAATCGCAACAGCTCACTGAAGAAGCTTGCATCATTTTAGTCGCGCTCGAATTTTCTGCCGACGACCGCGCAACACGGCAATAATGGTTCACTTTAAATTCGTTTTTTTCATAAGATTATTTTGGGTTATGAAATGATAGACACATGAAAATAAAGGTAATAAAATAATGTTTCCATACATATATTTTTTAATATCAATTTCAAACAAGAAATGAGAAAATTTATCAAACAAAATCTGTGCAATTTGTGAAATCTGTACACTGTTATTAGTTTTGTGGTTATGTCCGTTGTGATACCTACTGAAATAGACATTTATTGTGCATTCATGGAACGGATGGTTAGGATTAGGTGGATTGCTTGTCAAGAAGGCTGTAACACATCCCAAGTTCATACTTGTCAATCTTGAACAGTCTTCTGTATAACACCTCGGTGCTATCAGATAGAAGTTTCTTAATATTGGGTAAATATAATTTATGATGATGATATCGATCGAATCGGGATCATTGGTATGTTTGTGAATACCAGGGCCTAGTGGAAAGAAACCTGAAGGGAACGACGGCCGCACGAGTACGAGGGCACAATAGCCCTGGCATGTAAACAATAAGAAAAAAATAGGGCCTACACTATATTTATTTCGAATTGTGCCAAACTTTTGCGTTGGGTCACGAGCAGGTTTGCAAAAAATAATTCAATTTATGTGCTCATTTTCAGACAGTTGATGTGAAGTTTAACTGGTCTGACGACTTAAAAACAGTATTTTTAGGTGAATCCTCATTAGAACAATACAGTATGTTATTACATGCCCACAATGAATATTCTAAAATTCATACCACTATTTTTTGTTGCCGTTTACCACAACATAATTGTGAAAATCTAAGCTTTAATTTATAGAAATCAGGGGTCCCAAGTCGAAGAACTCCATTCGCAGGAGATTTTGTCGGGAACCTTTGGCCGCCTGCACGCGTCGCGTTGCAGCCAATACTCAACTACTCATAATATCAAATACTTGACATTCAATGATCAAGCACACAGTTAACTTGCTCTTCCTTTCATTTTTATTTACACAACAATGTAAATTAATACCATGAAATTACATAAATTCTGGAATCTACTAACCTGTACACAGTAGGCCTCTAATATTGTACATTATTCATTTATTTACACTTAGGACTACTACATCAATATCATTAATTACACCAATTTACAGTTCTTTTCTGGTATGTGGTTAGTGGTTAGTTTAATATTGTATTCAACAGTAGTAGTAGTCTAGTAGCTTCTTTGCTGCTAAGAGAAGAGCGGAATTTGGATGCAGTTCAATCATGGCAAACAAATCTGTAAACATAAAAAAATGACGAAAATATTATCTCAAAATGTATGTAACCTAATTTTTCTATTCTTGTTAAAATATCGATAGTCTTGTCTAGGTGTACATAGCTTGACTTCAAAAACCCTGAGGTCTAGACCTAAGGTATTTTAAGGACGGTTGGCCTAGGCCTAGTCTAGGCCCTAGCTCGTACAGGGAAGAAATGGCTCGAGGAGGCGGCTAGGCTTAGGCCAGGTAGGGTAACGATGAGTGCAGGCCTCTAAACCATCCATTTCCAAGTCACAAAACTGAATATAGAACATATGATTTTTTTATCACAATCACATAAAACTGTTTAAAAAGAAGTCAACATACCTTTAAATATCTTTCAACATCGGCCATTCCACCGTTCTTCACAGATATTACAGCATAACCAACAACATGGACCTCCATGCTTTCAAACAGTATACTTTTTCCAGAGTTGAGTTCGTTGATCTCGATGGTGCGCCACCAGTGGCGAACATACTTTTTGAATTGTGAATTAAAAACACATGAATTTTGCGTTTCTTGGCTAGCGCCATTGCGCTCCAGGGTATTCAAGTTTTTTAAGCCCATTTGATGGCATTTCTCTACATCATTTTTTTTTAAACAGTTTTCAGAATTAACTAATGAGCTGTAAAAAAGTTGATATTTTTACATATACTGTATCTTCATACATAGGCCTAGCCTAAATAGATACTGTAAACCAGAAACTTTCGCGAATTGATAATTTCCGCCGTTTTCGCGACATTAAACTTTCGCGAATCTCAAAAAGCCTAAATTTAATTCATGAGAGGAATATCATAGCTGAAAATATCGTATCGTGAGTTTAGGCCTAGGTTAGAGGCCTACAGCCACTGTGTAGGCTATATCTAGGCCTTAGGCGCCATATAAGCCTGCAGCCTACCTCAGTTGCTAGGACCATGACTTAGCTGGCTATCTCAGGCACAGATAAGAAAGTGACAAGTTTACACACATACAGTACTCACTCATATGATATTCCTTAATTTTGTTTGGTATTCAAGCATCCTACAAAATGAACAATGTTTATCAATGTTTTATTAACAAATTATTTTCCTGTAGGCCTAATATCGATTCAAACACATTGATTGATGATGATTGAACATCGTGGTATGTCATATGGTACGGAAAATTAGTTTCCCATTCAAACTTCTTAGTATACACTGCACAGTGGTTGCACATGTGCAATCACATGCAGTGATGATCACAACTTCCTTGATTAGTATACTTACTGAGTAGGTTAGAATAGGCCTAGAATTTTTCGAGCTCAACATCGGAATTTAAAGTCAGAACATTGATTCAATAATTGAAATACATTCTTTTTTAAGTTTATACACATTTAATAAAATCCACCAAAATAAATTGAAAATACAATTTTTATAATAATGAAGTTGTTTACTTTTCACAAACATGTTGAAATTTGTGGGGATTCACCATTTAGGCCTATGCGCCCTAGATCTGCGTTGAAGAAAACATCTAAGGAGAGCAAAATATAGTTCTAAAATTTACGCAGATATCGAAAAGAAATGGATACCACATTGGAAAAAAAATGTCTCATGTGATGTCGTGAATTGAGATGATTTTGGCTTGCTTTGCCGTTTTAATCACTGAGGGCCTACTATAACTCTGAAATTGTGAGTGTAACCAGCATTCAATATACTGTAGTTGGTTCAGCTTGCTACCTCCGCCACCGAGTGTAAATGAATTTGAGCCAGTGTTGGTTTTTTTTTTATTATGTATCATTTCCGAAATATCTATGTCATCACAAAGAGGGCTAGTAAAATAAAAATGAAATGAAAATAAAAGGTTCGTAGTCATACACAAATTAATTTTAAAATGACGATCTGTTTTCTTCTTCGCGGTAAGAAAACCCAGAAGCCCAATGTACGGAAAAAGAGTTTGGGCGATGTAAATCGTCATCACCTGAGCACGTGGTGGAGGAGAAATTTCTATTATCTTATTGGTTAACATGTGATTTGGAGGCGTGGCTTCTTTGATGGACTCACCCAGGTGCGACTGCCAAACTTTGAACTTTAACTTTGTTTACGCCGCGAGTTCATGAAAGTCAAACATGGAGTCTGAGAATTGGTAGACATTTTAATGAACTTTCAACAGAAAGGAACACCGAAATTAGTGCATACTATTGCAAATTAACTTCGTGTAGGTAAATAAGGTTCTTTTTTACAGACCTGTTGCGCTATTTATATTGGTGGTTTTTGTATTAATTTTTGTACAGCATTGATTGAAGTAGCCGGCGAAAACATCGTAGTAGCCGATCGAATGCGCCGGCCGCCGGCTCTTAAATAAACCCCTGGTAAAGTGTCATTTTCCAGCAAGTCCTAAATTCAATAGACCTTTCCGGAATGTCAATCAAACTTAACAACTGACTAATCAGAACAGCGCTAGGAATGCGCGCGCGTCTTGCAAACACACGTGTTGTCCCACAAACGCACGTGTTCGCGTATGATTTAACACTGCCGTCTTGTGGGACCTTAGCAACAATATCCAAGGGGCGGAGCTTAGCGGAAACGTCCATTGTCTTATCTCAGCCTCAACCATGATGGGCAGAGGTGGATGGTAGTTTTCATAAATTTTGAGTATCCAAGTGCTGTTTTCAGGCATCTAAAAAAAGTGTCAAATTCTTAAAATTTACTCATCTGTGCCCCATAGATTTTCATAGATTTTAGATTTTTGTTTCAGATATTAAAAGTTGTCTCATTTTCTAGTGGCGGGTTCAAAACTCTCGCCTTCCCCAAAAATCTCCCCTCCCCCCACCCCCCCCCCCCCCCGAAAAAAATTAATTAAATAATTGAAAAAAGAAAATTGTATTCAAATCTAATCTGAGTGTGTCATTTTCGGCCTCAGGTGCCTTACCATAAAATGTAAAAGTGTGGATGGACCCTCAATCTGTGAAAATCCCTTATTGAGTCCCTATTACGAATTCCTGTATCTGTCACTCTTTTCTCAAAAGGACGATCATTAGAAAACTAAAATCGCTGTAATACTAGTCAATAGTCATTTTTTTTATTCAAAGCATCACATTTTTGGGGATCTTATAATAATAAAGGCCAATGTGCAAATTACTATGACATTATTACTATGACATTTAATATTACAGTACATCAAGGCAAAATAATACCGTGGTAGCCATCAAGGAAAAAATACATACAAAGAGACAAAATACAGCGAAATAATTCATCACAAAAACTAAAATTAGGTACAAATCATATGACAGACCCTGGAAACCTAGTCATCTACCGTGGTGCAGCGGACTTGATATTGTTCAGTGATCAGGTGTTACTATCGCAATACCGTCCTAATTATTGGTTAATAAACTTAATTAGAAACCATAAACTTTTAACCAATGATTAAGCTTCGTAATTAATCATTTGTTAAAAGTTCAGGAAGTATTTTGCCTTTTTTTTTTTTTTAATGGGGAGGGGTGCGGCACACCCAGCCTATACCTCTGAATAATACGTACGCCTGTATGATTTTATAATCATTGAGGGCAGTATACACAGGAATGACCATTTTCGAGAAATTTGAAATGAAAATTTCGAACAACCTGGTAACTACCATGGGAGACTTTCAGAGGCCTAGCATTTCGCTCTACGTACTAACCACCATCATGGTTAAATCAAAGATATATCTAAATTACTAACGAGCACAAATATTTAAAACAGAAAAAACAATTAAAAACAATTCCAAGTATTTAAAAGCTATTTCAATGTTTACATATACAGTAATTACAGTAATTAGCAAGATCGCAAAGGTCTAGGCCTAGCGGCGGTATCCGCTGCGTGGTGGTCGATAATTTGCAATATAGACAGCTGCTGCTTAGGGTAGTCCACTGGAAGTACAGTACTCATCCTACGTGAGTCGCTAGACGTTAGCGGCGCTGTTTCAAAATATACCCGATAAAATGGTGTATAAAAGTAATCAATATTACCTTTTAATTAGAGCGTATGTATGGCCCTTGGCCTAGGTTTAGGCCTACGTACAGTACATGATACTTTTATTATTCATAAATTAAAATGTGTCCAATGGAGTATTGGTTTCCCGACATGCCATAGGCTCTAGGCCTAGTGCATAAGATAACGCCCACAGTTGACTTAGGCCCTAGGTCTACCTTGCAACCGCGGGACATACAAACCTTGATCTATTAGCCTGCAGTTAGGCCTGACATGCAGAGTTGATTTAGGCCTAGATTCTGAACCACTCCCAGAAAGGTTTTTATTCTCTATTTTCCAGAATAAGATACTTTTCGCACCTAACGAATGAGTACTTACCATAGAAGAAATTACGTTCTGCAAACAAACATAATATTGAAGATACGTTTACTTTACTAAAATAATAAATCCAGGTGCTGCAAAGTTTCTTCTTCCACGTTATTGTCTGCAGCAGCGTGTTCTGCGTGGGTAGGCTAATAAGTTCATGCATATGTATTAGGTGTTACGCCTATCCAGTTTAGTTAATTTAGATTAAACTTCCGGAATCACTTTTGTTACAGTGGCACATCCACAATCAAAACAATCGAAAGATGAAAAATAAGTAACTACATAAATAATAATAATAATAATAATAATAATATTATTATTATTATATCGATTTCTAAAGCGCAAACATCACTACCAAGATTGGTGCTCAAGGAATTCTCACCAAGGGTATTCGAACTTGTGCTGTATAGCCAAACCCCATAATAACAATCTGGGCACTTAAGCTCACTGATTGTGTATTATGCAATACTTATGCAATACTTTTAGTATAATGTGCCTGATAGAATATTAAATTAAATCAACCACTTGTCCTCTATGTTAAGTTGGAAACGCAACCAAACTATAATCATTTGGTCTAGTGTTCGAATCTCGGTGTGAAAACTACGTTTTTCTTAGGCCCACATCAAGCAATTTATGTTTATATACATATAAAAAGGCAGATAGGCCTAATACAAAAAAATACATAGACTAAAACCCAGTGACATGTGCTGCAAACATCTTACTACCTGTCCACGAAGGGCTGGTAGAAAATTTAAGTTCCAGTTCATTTTAAAAACATTTTCTCTTTTTTAACGTGTCTTGACGTCACAGTCGGAATAGCAATAATGCTCACATAGAAGACACATTCAATAAAAAAATCAATTATTCAATCCAACTACCAATCAATCAGTAAATCTATCAATCAATAAAGCAAGCAATCAATCAGTCAATCAATCAATCTATCGATCAATCAATTTATAAATTAATCAATCATTTAGGTCATTCAATCATTTAATCAATCAATCAAACAATTAATAAATTAATTAATTCGTCTTTCAATCAATCAATCAATCAATCAATCTATCTATCTCTATATCAGTCAGTTACAGTAGGTCATTCAATCCGGCGTGTCTTGGAGTCTTGAAATGGCGGCGGTGGATAAGTGAGAGGGGGCGCTAGCTGTCTCTTATACACATCTAGATGTGTATAAGAGACAGAGGTTATGTTCGAATGATTAAATGAAAAAGATCCACCGGGTTTACATATATAGGTTAATCTTCTCCAAGTCATACTTACTTTCTTATTATTTAGTCATAGGAGCATTAACATTCTGTGAAAACTTATCAAAGTGATTAGCAATTTTCCACGGAAAATCATTTCATGACATTGTTTTCTGATAGTTTTGTGTTGAAATTATTTCCACTAGAGTGCAATGTCTATAAACTCCTGGGAATACACCAAGAATCCATGAGATCTTGAGATTCTATGGAGCGAAACTATTGACCATACGTTATTTTATATTCGTATTTTGCCCGCAGCGTTATGAAATTACAAGTAAAATTGAGTTTATCATGTCATTCTTTTTCAATTGGTTCATATAGGCAAGCCCTAAAATTTAATTCTTAGAACAAATTGAAATAATATAGAATGTTATCAAAGTCATCAGATGGCAAGAAATACAAAGAAATGTACAATCCAAGTTTACGATTTCAAATTTGAATTAGGACAAATAAAGAATTATGTAATAGATTTGGGATATGTCTTCGTGGAAGAGGTTTAAAGTTTCTGCACATTATTCTTAGTATACAGCTTTCCACGTCTTCTGCTGTTAAATTTTGTTATTTCACGCTTCTTAGAATATTCTCATCAAATGCTTGTTATCGAGGTATTAATCTGCTCTACTGTACTTAATTCCAATCCAGAATTTTCACTCGTATTGTAAACATTGAGCTATTTCTGTTGATGGCACTCTTATATGGGGAATCATCAAACATAAATGCTATGTGATTTTATGGCTTGTGCGCATGCGTGCTTTGATATGTAACACAATTACCATTTTATCAACGCTCTTTTCGCCTGTTTCATTATCCTCATTGTAACTATTGCAATACTAACCTATTTACATATTAATTCAATAAGAATATTTTAATAAATATTTCAACGGTCGTGATTTTGGATATTAATATTTCACGAATAGAGTGTAATTCCTGTCTCTTATACACATCTAGATGTGTATAAGAGACAGGTATATACATATTTATATATATATATGTGTAATTTACAATTTTCGATCTTATTATTTTTTCTTATCTTAAATATGAAGAAGGCGTGTCCATGTGTTTCGAAACATATGTGGAATATAATATAGCGTAACAGTAATGAAACTCAAATACGTAAGATGTTGACTTTAGAAACACTAAAATTTATTTGGCAAATATTTCGGCTACTAGTCTTTGTCAATTGACAAAGACTACAAGATTACTACTAAGATTTTGAGAATTAACATAACAAAAAAGCAGTGCCAATGTTGTCTTTTTTTAATTGTTCTTTTAATTAAATCGCTTAATGTACCTCAGAAAAAAGGTAAAAGTAGCAATAATTTATTTATCCATATTATCAGGGCGAGGGAAAAAAACTCAGAACCTCCTTTTTTCCAACTTTTTCCCCCAGTTCCTAAATATTAAAAAATCAGTATATCATTAACCGCTTCTAAGTTTTTCATCAAATATGCTTTTTGTGTCTTAGAAAAATCAGTTCTACAACGTATCAAAACTAAATTTTCCTCCGGAGCCTGTAGCTTTAAGAATTCAGAAATTGATGATTATTCAATATTTTTAGCTCAACAAGAATATAAGTATAAGTTCCAATAATACAAGAATTATGGTAGTGACCTTGGAAAATAGTTAGTTGCTTTAACTTCGCCATTCATTAACTAATTAATAGTTTCTGCCTATGTAGCTAGTGTAACTTGAGGATACGGTCCAAGTTCCAATAATTACGAGAGTTAGTAACCATGGTAAATATTTAGTTGCTTTATTTTCGTCCTTCATTAAATAATTAATAGTTTCTGCCTATGTAGCTTATGTAACTTGAGGATATGGTCTGCCTAAAGCGTCAAGGCTGGTTGATGAATTGGTAGTCTGAACTAGATGGGGCTGACACAAGCCTGGCTAAAAATTGCTCAACCCAGAAAAGTTACCCAGCTATTTCCATCTTCTCCCTGTAGACTTTGGTCACAGCTAGCAACGAATTGTTGAAGCTTGTTGATCTCTTCTGGCTGAATTAATTTAACAGAGTTCAAGTCACGTATAATATACTCACTCCAAGCTGACTGTTGCTTCCTTCCATAGTATAGCTCACTTCTTACTTATTAGTGTTAAAACTATCTTTCAATGGCACTCATTATTGCACTATCCTGATGACTGCGATCAAACAGTCTCTTTCTATGTTAGCTTGTTGCGATGTTGAGGACAGAAGGGTCATATTCTTGACCTTTGAAAGGTGACCCCTCAACATCCCAAGCTTTCTTCAGCACTTCATGCGCTTTCTATAAAAAAAATATCAACAATATTTAAATGTAATGTTTAAGATAATTAATAGAAATTATCAGAGGCAGATTTAATTTTTTAAAAATTTAGGTTGGAGCACTTTAAATCTTAAAAAATAAAAAAAAATAGGGGTAAATAGGATATGGCATTAAAATTGCCAAAAGTTGCCATAACATTTCTAACTTAGGTCCAACCATGGTGGAGCTGAGGTAAGCATTGCCTTTATTTCAGTGTCTCACCACTTGCAAAGTAGTTTAAGCCAAGCGGTATGTCTTATGAATATATTCACTAATGAAAAACCAGCTGTTATGGACCCAACACAACATGTTATTTAACTTAAATCAGAAACCTTATTTCTTCGTGTTGTTACTGAGGAGAATTTGAAGTGGACCAGTCACCATAATTATATGTCCAAAAAAATATAAAAATGAATTGGTATCATATTGATTAAAGTATATTTTTCCACAACACATTTCAGCCATGTGATTATCCATTGAAATTTAATTAAACTACATAAATTATCAAAAAATATTATTATTATTATCGTATTTTTGTACTCTTTCTGAACCTTTATTCAAACAACTTCAAACTGTAAATATATATGATCTAAATAGGGTTCAATTAGCAATGTTATGTTCTTTATGTTTAACTTAGTCAGTTTTTATTTTTGTGCTTGTGGTCCAAATTATAATTATAATTTAGATAAAAAATAAAACAATATTATTTATCTTTGTACCATAATAACTAAATTTATATGTACATATGTGTGGTCTGAATTTAATTGAAATGTTCTCAATTATGTAATCTTTTTGTGCTATTCGGTTTTGTTTTTCCGAGTTTTAATGTATTCTCATGTATTCTCATTAAATAGTTAGTTAGGAGTATAGTATATATATATATATATATATATACATATATATATACATATATATACATATATATATATATATATATATATATATACTGTATAACTTATCATATACAGTATATATATATATATATATATACTGTATATGTTATTTTTTTTTTTTTTTTGTATCGTTATGGGGTCAGGGTAAGACAAGTTTCACATCTAATCTTGATCCAAATGATGGTCACTATTTATTTTATTTCAGTTCTGTTTACTTTACAAAAAGTATGATTTAAATATCTCTACTATGTTGATCATTGTGAATAAATGTACTTTTGAACTTTGAACTTCAACTGCTCTTCTCCTACTACTACGTACATCAGCACAACTTACCAGTTCTTGGCTCGTCGGTTTGCCCTGCTGTTTTTGCTCGTAATCAAACATTGCCTGTCTGAATCCTTGTTTATCATCTTCATCCAGGTCGTTCAAAGACTGACTATTGTTGATTGTCTTTGGATCGATCTCTGGTTCGTTTTCCAGAGCAGCGTGCCACCATGTTTCTACTCGTTTCTCAAGGTTAAGCTAAAGGTCAAAGTTGTAATGGAGAGACAAAAAGAGATGAGGAAAGTTAGATTTGTATTCAATAAAGATGCATTGTCTGTGGTAAAATTGGGAATTTAATGGAATTTTAATCAAAGAATTGCACTGTTCATATAAAAGGAGTAAAGTTGTTTATATAAAAGTATTAAGATTGCTCATATGCTCATATAAAAGTATTAAAGTTGCTCATATAAAAGGATTAAAGTTGCTCATATAAAAGGATTAAAGCTGCTCATATAAAAGAATTAAAGTTGTTCATATAAAAGGATTAAAGTTGCTCATATCAAAGAAATAATGTTGCTCATATAAAAGGATTAAAGTTGCTCATATAAAGGATTAATGTTGTCATATAAAAGGGTTAAATAAAATGCACCAGTTACCTGAACACATTCTCCTGGGATCAGACTCCACATCGACTCTTCTGTTCTGATTTGTGCTTTTAGTTTTCCTTCAACAAGAACTTCAGGAGAACCGCTTGGCTCATTAGATTTTAGGGCAACCTAAAATCACACAAAAAGTAGAGAATTTTAATAAAATGCTCTATAAACATCAATAACACTTACATGTTTTAATTCTCATATTTAAATGCCTTTTACTTTGTCACCACCATTACATTTTTCTCTCATTAACATTTTTGCAACAAAACTTTTTCTTTATTTTTCCAATTGATTCCTTCATCTCATTGCTAATTTTCTTTTTCTTAATTTCTCTCCAAGGCTGTCGTTCCTCTTAACTCCTCTCTTCCTTTCTTTTCTCTAAGCTTTTCCTCTCCTTCAAATTCTTTATACATTACTTCTCTTTATTCTCTGCATCCCTCCATAGAGAATCTACTATAAACAACAGTAGAGGTAAAATAAAAGGTAGAAATTAACCTGTGACTAGGCTGAATTGCTCACAGGCATAGACTGACTCATTCAACAACTTTCTTCTCCCCGAGGGTCACATTATGCCCTATCTGCTGCCAAGAGGCGCTCTTTCGTCTGTCCATAACAACAGGGGAAGAATGAACTAGTACACCGGGGTAACCCCTATTCTTTTTGAAAGATCTACTGGGTTCTTTAAAGTGCACGCAAGCCAACTGTGACACTGGGCCTACGGTTTACAATCCCTAACCAAGGAGATTTCGTTAAAACCAGCGCAAATATTATGGCTGTAGGTCTTAGTGCCAATAGACTGGCAGTGGCGTCGAGAGCCAGTAAGGGCCCCGGGGCAACACCTCACATGGGGGCCCCCTTCACTTGGGACCCCCACTCAGCCGTTCCCTAAATTAAGTCTCCTCCTAAATCTGACAACAAAAGTTTTCATCCTGGCTTGGGCTCGGGCCCTATGGAGATTTTGTTCTTAAGCCGAAAATTTTTCATCTTGGTCCGGGGCCCCCCAGTAGACCCGGGCCCCAGGGCAGCGACCCCCCTGCCCCCATTCTCGGCGCCACTGTCGACTGGCAAACTAGAGATGTAGCTTAGCGATAAAGATGCATGCCATTCACTCTGGCACACTTGTGAAGGCAGTAGACACTGTCATCTCTCTTGCAAGTTGAAGAGTCAATCCAGTTTGAAAGGAATGATGGAATATCATTGGGTCTTAAGCTGAAGATAGTCCCCGCACACAGAGTAGTGGAAAAAACTATATCAAGCAGTAGAAACATGCTCCCACTGGGAAAAGCTTCAAAGTGAATCCTCTCCGCTTACCTTTATGCTGTCGGACTGAACTTCAACCATCAGTTGTTTGGCTTTCTTAATGTGCTGAGGCACGGGTACCTTGATGTCAACGTCCTTGAGTGACTGGGACCATGAGTAAGTGTCACACATAGCACCGTTGAATGTGTCAGCTTCACTGATAGCTTTGGATGATACCCTTCAAGATAACAGTTTGAAGATGACATTGAAAGAGTACAATATAAACAAATTATTATATAATCACAAAAAATAATAACATAACAGTTATTACATGCTTTTAGTACACCATGTGTAACACGCTACAAATCTCAATGTTATTTGATTCTGAGAATATTTTGTAAGGGAAAATATAAACAAAATCTAATGGTTCTTAGAACCAAATAACATTAATAGCATATGCCACATATCATATAATAATTGTGGCAAAGACTAGCCAAAACAGTCACTCGTCGCAAATCGTGTTTCAGAGAGAATGGCCAAAACATGCTAGAACGTCAAATTTTAAAAAATCTATTTTATTGCACTAAACTAACCTTTATATATCTACACATCATTCTATGCTGATATTTGTCCCATTTCAATGTTGAAACAACACTTTTTAAGGATTTAAAGATAGTTTCTGCATGAGAAATGCCTGAAATCATAAACTTTGAAGGCTGATTTCTCATATATTGTTCTTTAAACAGCTGTGTGGTTTTAAACGCTTGTAACTTCATAAGGAAATGTCCGATTTGAATGATTTTTTTTCCATTTTATGGCTATTATTTTACTCTCTAACACTGTATTAATAACTCAAAATCGAATTTTGCGACGAGTGACTGGTTTGGCCTGTCTTTGCCACAATTAATTATAAGACAGTGGTGATGTCATCATTTTTATTTTCACTGAATTTTTATGTTCCTGACTGATCACAATATCGATATAGTGCCTTGTCATGTGTGCAAAAAAGCTCAAAGAAGGGGGAAATTTTACTACAGTACATTGCAATGGAATATTTTATTGCTAGGCCAAACTATGAATGCACACAGCAAACCTAACAAATCTCGATCTACGGCGCTGGTTAACACAGTTGAAGCCTAAACCGTCCTAGGAGAGGCCTAGAATTTAAAAGGCAAAATGGTTATAAATAAGGGGAACTACTGTAAGGCAATGCTGAAATAATTAATAATAATGTTTACGATACATTTTAATCTATTAAACAAATGCCTACCAGGAGGTTAGGCCTACCTAATAACCCTTAATAAACTTCATAATAACCACAATCAATTTATTCATCTTCTTTGAGCTCTGTGGGAAGAGTGTCAGTGCGTGTACTAAACAGATCATTCTAATACAAGCAGCTAATGCACACGCAGTGATCACTTAGCAACTACCATGGCAACCAGCACTTTGATTTATGAATACAGTATAGCAACCGCTCTACAGTACAACCAGCAGTTTGATTAAAGGGCCATATACTGTAAAAGGTGATGGACGTCACAAATGACTTAAAGCAATTATAGTCAAGTAATTTTGTATGCTATAGGAGCCACAGGAGCCATTATTTCCTTCAAAAATTGCCTTCAGTCCTGCAGCCTTCAGGCAAATTTTTCAGGATGTAATGTCTCTTTGGCTTGTATTTCCTATAGTGTACTCAAAACCTGACTATAATTGCTTATTACCATCAACTCGCCATGCAAACCTTCAAAAACAAAGACATAATATATTAATATTTAAGCATCTGAAACAAATAAATTAAGAAGAAATTACTGCAAGCATGGAAAGAAAAAAGAATCACAAATAAATAAGTAATTTAACAATTTAAAAAATATTTCTTATACTTAAAATGTTTACATGCAGCACCATCACAGTACTTCGATGGGCACATATTTTATACAGTGGCTAATAGTAATGGGTCACTTCCATACGCAATTTAACATAAAACATGGGAGTAATGGGTTATCCTCCTACTTTTACCAGCAATGAAAATGAACGAGGGACTTAAATATTGTCACCAGTTCATCGCATATACAGTACTGTACAGTATTATCATTATCACCATCATTTTAGCTAACGGAGCTACGATGTTTTACCAACTCCAATGCATATAAAATTTAAACCATTACTTGACTACACTCAACTCACTTTTGTGACCCAGTTTGATCTCTGCTTGTGTTGCTAAGGGTCTTCTGTTCTGCTTTGTCTTTGACTTGTTCTCGTTCTTTTGGTGTGGATTCTATATGAGGTTTTTCAGTCGTTTCTACTTCGACTGTACTTTCAGCTTCTGGGATACCTAGTAAAATTGAATCCATTAGAAAGTGCATAATACTAATAGAAGCATGAGGTTTGGCTGCATTAGTCAAAGGTGGGTCCAAACTTGATTACAAAATTTACTAAATGTCAGTCCAAAAAAAACCAAAAAAAAAAACTGGCATGATGATACCAGAGTAATTCTGCTAGCTACTCACTTTACTTTTAATTATAAAAGTCTCAGTTAATTACTGGTGGCACTTAAACAACTAGTGCTATAAAAGCTTACTGGTACAATACAGGTACAAGTGATAATATACAAACATAAAGCCGGTTACTCACTGCGTGCGACAGCGACGCGACGCGTACCTAACGGATCGTCTTTTTAATGAGGATCCGTTCAGATTGCCAATCAGCATACGGCGTTGCATTGTCTATTGCTTGCCGGAAGCAAATGTGGATTTGTTTTATGACCGTCGTACGACACATTGAGTGTCCGGCTCAAGTTTCAGAAAAGCAACGGAGAGATCTGGTTTGAGTATTCTTCTTATCTTATAGTTTTCTGTGCTCAGCGACATCAATGATCAGTTGACTTATTACTGTTAATAGGGAGCTTTCGATTGCATGACGACGGTAGAACGTAGAACGTAATGACATCAGTAAAGAGTCATCTGCACGTGCGAGAACGTTAAGGTCACCTCGTTGAGTAGATTCTGGAGGGCAATTTAGCCAAATCTATATATACAGAGAATGTAGGACGCCAGGTAGGACGATCACGCATGAGTGGTTCCGTACTAGCGTCGCGTCATCGCACAAATCAAAAACTCCCTATTAAAGCTCTGTCCAGACCATTAAATTTTATTTGACAGAAGCATGTGACATGCCTATTAGAATATGGTCATGATGACATCACATTATGACCATATATAGGCACATTATGACTTTATATGGGCATTGAACAGTATTTTGTCACAGAAAATTTGATGATCTGGACAGATCTAAAGACTGTTACTAAAAACATTCAAACAGACTCAATTTCTGGGAGGTTGGTTAATTTGCAAGTGGCTTTGGCAACTCCAAGGAGACTTTAAAAAAAATCCTGCAATATCACAGAAAGTTGTCGGCACTTACTTGTGGTTGATGGTGGCACTGTAGAAACACCCTGTGATAGCTGTTCATACTTCATGTAGGCCTGAGTAATAATTATAATGTAATCAATACATTTATAATTCTGTAATACCACTGTTTGTATTGTACAGAATATTTAATATAATTAAATTTATGTTTTTGCATTGAGTGTAATATTGTCTTTTTGTCTGTCTGTTCAGTAAGCTTATTTCGTAAAGTTACACAGGGCCCTCCATCGGGGAGGGCTGGCTCCCCTCCCCCGTCGGGGAGAAAAAGCACAATTCGTCGGGGGAGAAAAAATTATTATATGTATTTTTTACATATTAGTAGACTCTAAAATCGATTAAATAAGCCTTTGAAACCCCTAAATTGTCAAAATTTTCGGGGGCTTCACCCCCAGGACCACTTTTAGGACCTTTTAATCGATGATCGACCACGCCCACCAGATGGGCCTCTTTTCAAGACTAATTTTGCAAACTAAAGAGGGGGCTTCAAATTGAGATGGGCTTCATCTCGAGATAAGCTCAGTGGGCTTCAATTCAAGGTTTTACGGTAGGTTTTGTTGACCAAGTCAATGCTTCTCAGGAAGAAGTGGCGCATCTAGAGAGTGCACGGGAGTGCAGATATGTGGCTTGCTTCCATCCGCAAGAAAAGCTTGTTCCCCACTGAGCAAAATACATTACACTAAAGCAGTTAAAAATTACCTCATACCAACTGTATTTCAAAAATCCTAAACTGACTACCAGCCAACTTATAAGGATCTATGCAAAAGGATACCGGATTCAAAGGTAGTATAGCCGCGCATTCACATTAGTACTTTAGTCAATAAGTTAATTATACAGTAGGTATTGGTAATTAAAATATATGGAATTGAATTTTTTTACAGTAAGTGCATCTATAAACAATCAGATATCAAAGAATGTTATCTTTATTAAATGCCATTACATAGGTTTCCTTAATTTTACCTGCATAATTAGCTTGCGGGCTGCACCTGGTGGAAGTCCCATTGTGTCTGTTTTACTTTTCATAATGTGATAGAAATCGGTCCTGAAAAAAATTGAATCAATCACGATAGGCCTAGGTCATTGTATATGAGCCGTATATTTGCATTTCTTCCTAATCCTATATGCCTAGCCTAGGGCCTAGACTACTGTAGGTCCTAAATACAGTACTGTAGGCATATAGAAATACTAAAGACTTATTAATTACCATTATTATCATTATTTATCATTATTACTATTATTATTAATGTTGTACTTTATAGTGTTTTTTTTTCATTCGCGCTTTTTTACTTTTGACATAAATTCTGGGAGTGTTGACATTTTAGTTTATTGCCGTTTTGACTTACCTATTGCCCTTTTGGTCTTGCCGAAAAGTGTTGCCGTTTTGGTTTTTTGCCGTTTTGGTCATTGCGTTTTGACTTATTGCTGTTTTGGTTTTTTGCCGTTCTGTCCAGAACCCCATTGACCACGTCGGGGTCACCAGTTTCGTAACCAGCACAGTTACTAGTTTAACTTTGTTAAACGGTTATAAAAAACACTGTACTAGGCCTACGTTCTAAGGCTAGGCCTAGCCTAGGCCTATACACGTACGCCAGGCCAAGCCTAACCTTGCCTAGTCTACTCTAGGCGTAGGCCGTAGGCCCTGCTGCTGTAGTGTAGGACCCTACTAGTACTAGGCTAGGTGATTTGAAAAGAATAAGTAATTTGTTGTTTACCGTCTGTATAAAAAACTAAAAATTGCGTCCATGAAAAAGTCAATTTGCTTAACATTTTGAAGAATCTCACTGAGTCTGGAGTCAATTTCGGGATCAGGTTTTGAAACCATTTTTGTCAACACTTCTACTACTAGCTAGCCGCCTTTCTTCATCGTCTCGTCAAAGATCGTATAGCGCCGCTACGCCGCATAGCGGCGCTATACGATCTTTGGTCTCAGAGCCGTAGATAGAGAGAGTTTGGCCAACTTGGCGCATGGGCGCCATGTTGTCACCAAACAGCGTGCGCGCGTATTAGCTTTATAACATTTTATAAAACACTGATGCTGCATAAGCTTTCTTTCATTATTCTGTTCATGAGGACAATTCAATTATGGGGATTTTAACATACCATTGTAAATATCATATATAATCATATTTACCTAACTTTGGAATTAATTAATCAGTGACGTGCTGTATTATTTCGAGAAGATAAAGTGAGGACGATTCTTTATTTTTTTTTCCGTTACGGTTATCTTTTTGTTTTGAAAGTCTATCATCTAGGCCTAAGCCTATAGGCCTACCTAGTTGCTAGCAGCCTCCTCTGAGGCTCCTAAGAAGAGTCAACACTGCAGAGGAGAAAGGTTGGGTTGTGCAGACAGAGTAGGTTTGTGAATCGTCGGCGATAATATGTTAATTTCGCCTGTAAATGAATGATAAAAATATTAATAACATGAAAGTTTTATAATTGTATCTAGGCCTTTAGGCCTATGACTTCGTAAACTTTAATTTATGAAATAACATGCTGGTCATCTGCAAACCAATACAAATAGCCTAGGCCTAGGCCTATTTGTAAATTGTAATCTAAACAATAAATCAAAGTTGAAGAATTATTGCATTGAGAGAAATTTTTGTACATATGCCTAATCATTCATAATCAAGAAGCTAGGCCTTGTAAGTAAAATAGCAGCATTCTCCATACTTTGTTTATTATATTAGTGAGTTATAATATTATCATTATTACTGTATTATTATTTATTATTATTATTATTATTATTATTTATTATTTATTATTATTCATTGAAATTTTGATTTGTAATTTGTAAAACATTTAAACGTTTTGATTTAAAATATGTATTAAAACAATCAATATATTATAATACAATTAGGCATATCTTTAAAATATATTTTTATCTTTAAAATCTTTAGTTGCACAATTAATTAATTAATTTGTAAAGCACAATTGGGCATGTTTGCATAAAACAGGACTCCTTGGACAAGTTTTCGCTTTTATTGGAGGATTCAATTTTTATTTTAAATTATAATTTAAGCTACCTTTGACTGATTCTTCATGTAGCTTTCTGGATAGTTATATAATTTGACAGCAAAGTGCAACATTGCATCTTTTTATAAATCATTGCTGCTTGAAAATCCTTCCTTTTTTTTTTATTATCATCGTAATTAAGCCGATTTAAGTACTTCCTTACGGTGTTCGGCCGAAGAAGTACCGAAATTTAGGCCTGTCTAGGCCTAGTAGTACTAGTAGTAGGTGGATATATATTACCGCGAAGTGGGGCGGGCGGCGGTACATGCCTTATAATTTACTACGTGGATAGCTAGATTTTTCGATCGCCATGCAAAGTTAAAATAAAATCCCAAATCCTCCTTTTTGGAATTTAAGGAAATTAATACATTTTTGTTTCTTTGTTGGATCGATTGCAGCAACCCCAAACCCAACATAACGGTATTTCACATTATAATTATAG